ACGATTACAGGGGAGAGGAGACTTCGGTGGAGCTGCCTACAAGTTGTGCAGCTTTTGTGAGTCATCCCTCAGGCTAGGTGGGGATCTGCTTGGTGCAGCTGTCTTTGAGACACCCACAATCCTGCAATCAACTTCAATAAACTCACTGGTTTACCAACTCAAGGTAGAGTTGTTTCTTGGTGTGTCTTTGGAGCCCTATCTGGGATGAATAGATATTTGTTCTCATCTATGTTATAATATATATATTATATATATTATATATAATATATATAACATATATAACATATATTATATGCATATGTATTTCCCTCGTGGAAAGCAGTCAGCCACACTGGGAACCCATGGTTCTGCTTTGTATCAATATGTCCTGTGGCTGTGTCTGAGGGATATTTGCCCACATGGCAGCCCTGTTCCTGTGGCCATTGCCAGTGGGACCACAGGAAAAGCCTGGACACTTCTGCTGAGGCTGAGGAATCCCAGCCTGTCACTAGCATTGCTTTGGCAGTGACCTCCCTGAAAGCCCTGTGACATGCTGTAGGCCTGACCTCTGCCGCTCTGTGGGCACAGGCCCAGTGTGCTGAACTTAGAGTCACTCTTATGATTTCTCTTAGCAAAGACTTTCTGATCATCCTCCACCCCTCACCCTACCCCATCCCCCACCCCATACACACAGAACTTGATGGTTCTAGATTTCCCATCAGCTTCAGGGAAACTTCAGTCCGGTTCTTGGCAGCTCACATCCTAGAGCATGTTGCTGTCATGGAAACAATCCCCCTGCCATGTGGCTCCAGGGTCTCAAAGAAGGAAATCTCACTCTTTCCTTTGCTTCCTCAGAAGGAGTAGACCTACTGTGATTCCATGACTGTTCTTGTACCTTCTGGTTCAGGTAAAGTCAGGAATTTGGCTCCCATAGTTTTGAAAGTCACTGGGTCCAGCCGTTTCCTGGCTGCTGGCTGCAGGTAGGGCTTGGAGCATTGACTTCTCCATCAAGCCTGGCCTGGGGGCCCTTCTCATTCTGTGGATTCCCAGGTACACAGTGGGGATTGAGCTACCCCCTTTCTCTGGGCCTTGGTTTACTTATTTGTGAAACAGGAACAAGAATATCTGCTCGCTTATGGGACCACAGCAAGAACTGGGTAGAAGTCCATGTGTAGTGCTCAGAATGGATCTGGCAGGCCAGAGGGCCACAACCAACACAGGCTACCACATACAAAGGGAGGTGCCGGCTGTTCCTGGCCAGCATGTGTGTAGCTTGGCTGGAAGCGTGTGTCTTAACAGAGCCACCGGAGATTACTATAAAGAGGTGGGGAGATGGCTCAGTGGTTATCAGCAAACTCTCCTCTTGCAGAAGACCCAACTCCTGCTCCCAGCCCCCACCTCTGGGAGTCACAAACACCTGTAACTCCAGCTCCAGGGGATCTGGCGCCCTCTTCTGACTTCCATGGGCACAGGCACTCACATTTCACCCTTCCCCATATACACACATAATTAAAAATAAAACAAATCTTTTCTAAAAACAGTTACCAATAAGCCAGGCCTGGCTGCACAACCCTCACCCCTCTGGCTCCGGTACTCCCCAGTGTGGTTCTCCGTCCTGCAGGGCTCACTCCCCTAACCTAGCATGCCATCCAGGGTTAGCAAGCCTCCCTGCTAACCCTCTCTCCTCCCCGCTCTGGCACGGCACGGGGGATACATACACACAGCTGACAAGAGAATCTAGCACACATCAACAACTGGTCGAGAACTATTTTATTTGAATACATTTCCTTCCATGGTCCAAAGAAACAAAATGAATACAGTCTGTGTTTCACAAGTGTCAGACACATAATCACTGCTGCGGTTGTGTGACAATGTTGACATGCGTGTGTGTTTATTCCACACTCCAAACTACGGACTCAGTACAACCTTTCAAACGAAGGAAGTGTCGGTCATAACAGAACATAACTTGAAGATTATTCTTTACCATAAAAACGACAACTAGATAAGAAAACAACAGAGGGACAGGGACATGCCCACTCTGAAGTGACACAGACTACAAATTACATTTTGCTTTGCTTTGCCAGTGACAAACTATATGAAGCACCAACAGGCCCTACGGAAACACAAAGCACCCCGGGGCTCTTCAGAATGGACCCTCGGTGACATTTCACAGGCTCCCTGTAGGAATGGATGAACATGGCCCTGTCAACATGGCAGTTGCTATATATTTCCTGTTGTGTTCCCAAACTCACAAAAGAAATTGAAAAGCAAACATACACACGGAGCACAGCGTGGGAAACCACTGGTTGATCACCAGCAAGGCAAACTCAAGCAGTCAGTGGACAAAGTTGCTGAGTTCTTACACGGGAATGTTTTAAAGGCATGGGCCTAAACGCACCAGCGCTGAGCTTACTGGGTTGCTTCCCTTCTCCTTCATCTGTGGGGCTACAGTGCTGAGTGAATTCTAACAAAAACCGATTCCACATCATTTCTGTGTTTTCACAAACTGTGAAGTGCAAGGATTATTAAAAAGTAATTAACTTTTTTAAAAAAAGCATATAGTTAAAAACAAACAAACATGGGATGTGATTTCAGATTTACAGGCAAACCAGCTCCCGGGATTATTACTCAATCACAAGGCAGCAGGAAGATTGGGCCAAGATGCAAGAGGCCACCAGACTGAGCCCTGTGTGCCTGACTAAAGCAGCCATCTTTGACAGCATCCTGGTTGAAATGAGAGTGCATTGTCACAGGGACTGTGGCTTGGTCCGTGTCCCTGGGCTCAACAGTGACACTCAAGTGTTTCTGGTCACCAGGGAATAGAGCTGACACAGAGATCATGGTTCCCTCATGCCCACTCTCTCTGAAGCAAGGGGGGGACTGGTATTCATTCACTCTGGTAGGCTGGCAGGAATGTCAGGTAGCACTCATTGACTTCTGAGAACCAACTGTGGCAGAGGGAGGGGCACACACCTCATATTCCCCACTCCTGGTTTAAGAACAATTGGTAGCCTTCAGGAGATACTTGGGTCAGCAGTGCTAAACCATACTCACTAAACACCATTTGACAAAGACATCAGAGCCCCTCCAATTTACCTCTTTGGCCAAACAGGCTTGAATTTTACCTGGAAATCTGAAGACCATACCCCTAAGGCTCTATAAATAACATCAGTACAAGGACACATTTACCTCCGTATAAGAGCTGCGGTACCCTTTCCCTCCTCAGCTTGAGTGAAAACCTAAGGCATTTGGAATTGCTCAGGTTCTTGGCTTTAGAAACAAACAAAATAGAAAACAGCAGGGTAGAAGTCTCTTTGGTTTCATGCTTAATCTTAAGCCTTTGTTTCTTGTGGACACTCCCAGCCTTCTATGATGAGTCTTTGATGTTACCTTTAACATAGACTGCAGAAGTTAGGGGATTCTCATACAGTCATCTCAGAACCTTTCCAGGGTACCAAAGTGAGAAACCTCTTGAAGTAGGAGCACTGAGGTCAGGGAAGCAAACACCTTCCACCAGCCCACACTATGCTTCCATCGACACCAGCCTGTGAAATACAGCTCCCATTGGGCACCCTCCCAGACACTTCCTGCCACACAGTAGGAGTCAGAACCCTTCAGAAGCATCTGGGGGTGGGTAAGGCAATAGAATGGGAAGAAAATAAAAAAGAGTACCACACCGGGAGCTGCCTGAAGGAGGGAAGGGTTTCAGAGACACTGTCATCTGGCTGAAGTCTCCAACTGGTACCAGCAGAAGGAACCGCTAAACTGGGAGTGCTGTCAAAATGCCCAGTCAGGTGAAGGGCACAGGCAGACAGATGCCATAGAATCATCCATCCAGTCTTGCGACATGCCTCCTTCCCCAAGCACAGCTGGCAGCAAGAATAACAAAGTTCTGTTGGGAGTCTGTACATCTAAATCCTCACACCCACAGACTGTACGAGGGCAACATGTGAAGCCTGGTTGCTAAGAGCTTTGTGGATGACAGTGGAACAACCCCATTGGTCCAAGAATGCAGTTGCTGGCATTAGGAGATACATCCAAAGATGGCCCTCGGGAAGATAACTGGTTAACTGGCAGACACAATAATGCACTTTTAATCTCCCATCTTTGTCCAACACTAATTCAACACCCATCTCCTCTGAATGTGGGGATTAGGCTGTATAAAGTGATAAAGTGTAGAGCCATAGTGGCAAACATAAATTAGATTTTAAAGTGCAGTAATGAAATCATAGACTCCCCAAAATTCAATTCTACAGTGAAATATAAATTAAAAACCTATTATATAAGTACCATTTTTTTGGTGAAGATTTCAGTTCAGGGTTTTTGTTTTTTGAAAAGAACCCAGCAAAAACAATTTTAAACGTAATAAAGAAAGGAAGGCATGTTTGCAAGAGGCCTACAATCCCAGTACTTGGGAGGCTTTGCTGGGAGTTTTGAGTTTGGGGATACCCTGGGCTGTAAGGCAATGACCTGCAAGCTTCCAACAGCATTATATGCAGGTTACTGATTGGACAGCTACTGGTAGATTTGGTGACAAGACCCTGAGATCTGTCACCATGACCCAAATAAACATTAACAGATTGTTTTTTGAGACAGGGTTTCTTTGTGTAGCCTTAGCTGTCCTGGAACTCACTCTGTAGACCAGCCTGACCTTGAACACAGAACTTTTAAGTAGCTGTGCAAATAAGATTTTTGTAACTAGGCGCTCTGGCTATATTAGAGGCATAGCTGTAAAGAAACCCCGAAGTGATTCCCTCATGACACTGAAGTCCTATGGGGGGGTCAACTTCTCCACCCCACCCCACCCCACCACCCCACCAGGGATGAATCCCCCTGCAGGTTCTATTTTTCTGTGGAGCTTTCTTAACTGTACAAGGCGGCTGTCACTGAAAGGGCGTTGTCCACCGCCCACTGCTGGGACAGATGGAGTCTGGCTCGGTTAGCCAACTCCAATACAAGATAGCAGCTGGTTATGGCACAAGCTCTTCAATCAAAATTCCTGTAAGTGAGGGCCTTGTTGCTGTTGCTGTAAGTGCTGGAGATTAAACCCGGGCCTCTCATGCATGCTAAGTGGGCCCTTGAGATTTTTAAGAAACACGGAGCCATGATTGGCAGGTTCCTTTGTTCACTGTGAACTCTGGAGCTGGTCCCTGAGGCCAGCACCTCACCTCAGTTCAGACACGCCAGCAGAGGTCATTCCACATCTGTCAAGCACCCACCCACACACACTTCCCAGCACAAATGAGCTACAGCCACCTTTGCCTTTAAAAGGCAGAACACGACTGCATATCTGAGACCAAGTTAGGAGGGATGCTCATCTAAATGTGAAATAAGTTGGGGTTTTTTGTTGTTGTTGTTTTTTAATTTTAAATCTTGAAACAAGATCTAAGTCAACACATTCAATAAAAATAACTCATAAAGGCGTGCTGTCCTTACTCAGTACACTCCCTCATTTAAGACTCAATTTATAAAAAATGCTAACAGCAATCTTCTAAAAAGCAAAGACCTCACAAGGTAGGGTCTGTGACCTGGGTAGACTTGCCTTTGCTACACACAACATAACAGGTTGACGAGTCTACTCGAACAGCCTCCTCAACTACAGAAAGACTGGAGAAGAAGCTGAGACTGCACTTATCCAAGTTTTTGGATGGCGCCCCTGCTTGTGTGGATTCTGTGTCTAGCTCTACCTTAGCAAGCATGGCGGCCATAGCGTGTGGGCCCTGGGGACAGCTATGACTGTAGCCGACACAACATCAGGACTTCACTTAAAACACGAGGAGATATTTTTTTTTTTTTAAGATAGCTCAACTGTGCACAAACTTTATAAATATTAATGTGATTTCTAAATGTCAAGAGGCTGGAGACACCTGTTAGGGTTCCTGAAAACATATATACAACGATGAAATAGCTAGCCAGAAAAACTGGGTGCCAAAGGGGACGAAGGAGGCTGGAGGGGTGAGGAGGTAACTCCTAACGCTTGTCAGAAAAACACTAAAAAGGAAAAGGAAAATCTACTACTAATGACATCCCAGGGGACCTAAAGAAATAGTATTTTAAAGTCATCTTTACGGGACTATCATGAGGCCCTAGATTCCACCCCCAGTGAAGAAAACACAGAACAAAGCCATTACTACTATCATGTCAGCTGACCTTGGGCCCTTAAGGAGCAGACCCCCAAAAGTCTGCTTTTTAATGCTGAGTTTTAGTTGTCGGCCCAAGACTGCTAGGTTTGGATGAATACTTAGGCCATTTGTTCCCGTGATATGAAAAAAACAATGGAAGGAATAATGTGGTTTCTTTCCCCCAAGTTTTCAAGTAATTAGTTCAAGAAAGCTTACTTACAGCCGAGCCTCCTACATATGTGACCTACGTTAGTCTACTTTGTCTCTTCAGGATTCAGGATTTCAAAGGGTTGCCTTTTTCCCCCCTTGAACCAGACCTGTCTTTTAAACAGTGTTGAATCATTCAGGTCTCTGCTTTGTTGGGTAGATAGAGAGAAGAAACCAGTAGGTTATGTCCAAAGGCTGGGAACCGCCGGAAGGCTTCCCAGCTGTCAGCGAAGATGTTGTACTTGAGGAACACGCGGTGCTCCAAGCTGGTGGACAGAGTGACATCTCTGCTCATGATATAGATGCCGTCGTTGTGAAGTGCACACGTCAGGTTCAGGCCCGACTTGGACGTGTTCTCCTTCAGGTAGTACCACTGCCGAGTGACGGTGTTGTAGGCCTGCACGGTGAGCATGTCCTCACCCTGGCTGCTCCTGCGGTTGGCCCCCAGCTCATGGAGACACCCCCCAACGATGTAGATGGTCTCCTCGATGGACAGCATCTGCTGTTTGCGGATATGGACGCTGCAGGTCTCAAACAGCGTCCAGAGGTCAGAGGAAGGGCAGTACTGCAGGATGTTCATGTTGCGATCTGAAACACAGAAAGAGGCGGATGACGGGCAGCAGAGACGTTCACCACCCAGGCGGGGGGAGGCATCTTCCCCCCCACGTACCACGTAGCCACGGGCAGTTGAAGCTCAGTCAGAAGGGCAGGGGACAGAGAAACTGTTTTCTAAAAGGACTGGGAAGGGGTCACCTGGATTCCCCTCTACGGCCTTACTCTCAGGCACTGCCCTCTTGGAGGCCCTCAGAACCATGGAGCCAGAAGCTAGGCATGGTGGTTCATGCCCATAATCCCAGCACTAGGAAAACCTACACAGGCGAACCGTGAGTCTGGAGGTATCCTAGAAAGGGCAGCTTTGACTTAGAGACAACTTGTAGATACTGTTTTAGATGGATGGCTACAGCAAGAAGCTGTAGGCCTCAGGTAACCTCAGCAAGCCCTGGCTACGGTCTGCTCGAGGCATGCTCATACCATTGTAGGGAAGTCTATGCTTTTATGAGTAGCTCAGGCCATTACAACTCCAGTGTCCTACGCCGCCTTACACAAAATAGAAAACCCATATTAGAAAAACTCACTCCTTGGCAAAATGACGGTATGCTCACCTGGACATCCAGATGAGCGCCCCCCCCCACACACACACTGGTGTGCTACCTGGCCAGGCCTGAACAAACAGGATCCACAGCACGATACAGTGCTGCCTACCTCAGGAGAAAGGGCTGCACATCCCTTAGAATGACTCCTGGGGCCCTGCTCTCCACCATCCAGCCTGCACAGCCTGCCCGGCATGGCAACCAGTGGCTGAGCCAAACAGCCTCAGACCCTCACAGATGGCTACAGGATGCCTGACTACACAAGGCGGGCCCAGCCCCAGCGAGGTCTGTCCTTGACAAACCTAAAAGCCACACCAAAACCCCAAAGCCTAAAAAGCAGGTTTCCCTGTCAAGAGACTCAGAAGCCTCAGCTCCTGTGAGCACAGACTCACAGATCTGCTCCCCAGCTGTAGCACAAGAGACAGGCATGCCAACGGCCCCACCTCTTGCCGGCTCGTGGTCAAGCCTTCTCTGTCTTTGTTCTTAACTAATAGCTAATTTCTTTGAGGAAAAGCATAGTCTCTCTCTCTTGGAAAAACAAAGTTGCCTGTCATATCAGCTACTCTGGAGGCTGAGGCAAGAGGATTTCAAGCTCAGGGCTAGCCTGTGCTACAGAGTGAGTTCAAGGCTAGCCTTGGCAACTTAATGAGATTCCACCTGGAAGTCAATCTGAAAGGAAGGCTAAGAACACAGCGCGCTTGCTAGTGTGCATGAGGCTCCCAACACTGCAAAATAAGAAAAACAGGAAATAACCCAGTGGGTTTCAAAACACAGGGCTTATTTTCCTCTTTTTAAACCGACTTTTAGAATATTTTCTTCTCTAGGAAAGCATGAATGGTCTTAGCTGCAACAAGAAAAGGAAATTATTAGCAATCCAGAACACGAAAGTTAACGTTTGGTATCATTAAACAACAAAAACTATCAGTGGAGAAACACAGATCAGGTTGGGTGGGAGCCAGCCGATCACAAGCATCCATCAATGGACCTGCCCACAACAGACACACCCATAGCAACAGACCCTCCCATAGCAACAGACCTGCCTAAAGCAATGGAGTCCACCACCCACACAGGCCCACACACGCCCACACACGCCCCTCACCTACAGCTACAAGAGCTCCAGAGTCAGGCCCAGCGTGATGGAGCTTATCTGTAATCATAGCATTCAGAGACTGAGGCAGGAGGATTGCAGATTTGAGGCCAGCCTTGGGTACACAGTAAGACCTGTCTCAGAGAGAGAGAAGATGGTGGGTATGAACAGATGGACAAGCTCCAGAGCCAAATCTGGTTCCAAGCTAGCAGGGCATGGAGAACTCAGGTCCTTAGTGTATTGGGTCCCTGTGCCCACTAGCTTCCCACCTGCTAGGAAACAGCCTGTCTGGTCCTCACACCGGTCTGCATGTATCTGCTTACAGACTCGGTAATAAAGGTCACGCTAGGAGACAGACAAGGATGTTTGGTTAATGAACCAGGGACACCTGGAAGTTTCTCCTCATCCCAATACCCTGCAGGTCTTCCTGGGTCATCTGCAAGCTCTGCTCAGGCCATTGCAAAGCATTCTGCTTGGTGGGATAATCTCTCGGTCTTTACAATTAAAATGGATTTCTCTGCCCCTTAGGATCCCTAGTATTTCCTACTGAATTTCTTTTGGTTTTGTTGTTTGTTTGTTTGGTTTTTTTTTTTTTTTTTTTTTTTTTTTTTTTTTTTTTTTTTTTGAGAAGACGTCACATTCTCTAGCCTGTATTCAGCTGACCTGGAACTCACTATGTAGCCCAAGGACGGCCTCAAAAGTTGTAGCAATCCTCCTGCCTCAGCCTCCCAAGTGATAAGGTGACAGGGCTCCACATCTAGCACCTCCATTTCTCTACTGGCAAAAAAACAAAATAATCAAAATCTACCATAAAAGTCATGAACCGCCAGGCGTTGGTGGCGCACACCTTTAATCCCAGCACTCGGGAGGCAGAGGTAGGCGGATCTCTGTGAGTTCGAGGCCAGCATGGTCTCCAGAGTGAGTGCCAGGACAGGCTCCAAAGCTACACAGAGAAACCTTGTCTCAAAAAACAAAACAAACAAACAAACAAACAAAGTCATGAACCAGCCAGGTACAGTGGTGCACACCCTTAATCCCAGCAGAGGCAGGTGGGTCTTCATGAGTTCATGGCCAGCCTGGGCTACATAGCCAGTTCCAGGGCCACCAGGGTCACATAGCAAAGAGACCTCACCTCAAACAAACAAACAAACCAAAAAGTCATGAATCATTATTTAGTGAATTTCAAGTCTCTTTTAAGAAGTCAACAGGGTGAGATTCTAACTCGAGTCCTAGTTTTTATTTCTTCTTGGTTGTTTTGGGGTCTTTTTGTCTGTCATAACCATTAGGAAGACATGTTTGAAAAAGGAACAATCAGGAAGAGCTGGAAAAGCCGGACAGAGAAGGACTAGAAAGGACAGCAGTGCCCAACCCTTTCAGCTCAGAACACAAACACCCATCCGGCCCCACCTCACCGCCTGACCGCCCAGCATGGTCTCTGGCACAGGGAATTCAGGACGGACATCATCCTGGGTGGCCCAAGTGAGGAAGGCATACTAGTGGTGGCTTGTGAAGCTCAAAACACACAAGAAGGGTTTTCCAGGTCAAATCTACAGCCTGTTGGCTCAGCCAAGGTCATGGGAAAGCCAGGAAATCTACCAGAAGAACAGTGCCACCAGTAGAATCTTGCAGCTCCTGCATAGAGAAGCTGAGGCACACAGGTGTCATGTCAGCCCCATGCATTCTGTTTCACTCCATCTGGGGGAGTTAGAGGCTCGTGCGTGGAACCCAGCACCCGAGGCTCAGGCAGGAGGACTGAGCTACAGAGACCTACACCATCGAGAGCTCCGGGCTAAGAACTTGCCTCAAACACAAACCACATCACCTAAAAGAAAGGTGAACAACCTAGCTAGTTACTTCACTAGAAAAACAGAGACAGAGATGTAGCATTTAGGCATGGTGGAGATTAGGGCTGTCTAAACATGTGAAATTGCTTGATGGCTGTAGCCTAAACCCCAGTGTGGAGAAAGAGCGCGAAAGCCTTCTAGAAAAGGTAAATATTCTTCCTGATTCTCCACAAAGAACACGCTGACAAACCTCTTGTCTTCGTGGCGGTCACTGGGAAGTGAAAGCATTTGAGGAAGAAAATAGCTCATGCACAAATACACACGCCACCTGCAGGGGGCAGAGAGAGACAGACACAGACACGCAGACACACAGACACGCAGACACACACACACACACACACACACACACACACACACACACACAGAGTCAGGTCTACCTCCTCAACCTCAGCGAGCCCTTATTTGAAAACAGATCTGTAGCCACATAAGTTAACATATTAAACAGAGATGGTTCTGGATTACAAACCCACCTGCTAGCATCCTGATTAGAGACAGAGACACTCAGAGGGGAGGCCACACAAAGACAGGCAGAGGTACAAGGTGAAGCCACCAGACAGGGCCCTGACGAGGTGAGGGAGACTACAGTCTTTGGAGATCCCCTACTGAGATCTTCCTCTCTCTCTCTTCCTCTAGAGATGGGGTGTACTGTCTCCCACTCCCACCTTCAAGTCCTGACCCCCCTGCCTCCACCTCCCCAGGGCTAGGATTACAGGAGCCCACTGTCACACCCAGTCCTGGGCCACCCATTTGAATACTATACTGGTGTCTGTCATTTACAAAGTTCCATGTAGTCACTTGCCGCCCCAGAATCGCCGTCATGCCGTGATCAGCCAGGGCTAGGAAGCCACCTGCCCCAAGGACTGTGCCCTTGCCACTGTGCATCAAACACACAGCATCTCCACGAGTCCAGGGACTCCTCTCCTTCGGCGGCTGTGGGCTCTGCGGATCAGATGCAGCCAACACAGAAGTAAATCCCCTTGGCCGAAAGACCACTCAGCTGCCTCTAGGGATGCAAAGAGGAAGAGGGACTCAAGCTCTTCCCTGAATGCAGCATCATCCCTCTCACACAGCCATGACCCTGGCTGCGTGATCTTCCGACTATACACAGCAGCACTAAACCTGGGGACAGTCTTATTTCCACACCACTCCTATGAAATGACAGAGAGAAAAGCACACAAGGACATAGAACACTGCACAGACATGACCAGTCTAGAGAGTTCTCTGTGTTCACATCCTTCCACCTCATGGACATAGGAACAGGGCAAAGGCTTGACTCAGCTCTGGTGTGGCACTGGTGGGTGGGCCCAACTCTGGGAGAGGGAGAAGGATACTTAGTTTATGCTTCTCTCCCAAGCAAAGCTGTGACCCAAACCTCTAGCATGGCCAAGTTCCAGGTGCTGACCACAGGCTGGGTTTCTAGAAGCACAAAGAACATTCACAATCCTTTATATTTCCCCTCTTAGTGTGAATGATGTCCATGCTCACATGAGGTCATCAAAGGTCCTCACTGTCATCAGGAATGGTTGAGTATCCTGCACACTCAAGACACACAGCTTCCTCTGGCCAGTCTTGCCCTGCCCAGGCCGATGCAGCTTATGCCAAGCAGCCAACTCTCACTCACCTCGGGTAGTATAGCCGCCAATGACGTAAATCTTCCCCTTGCACTCGCAGGCAGAGAACTCAGCTAGAGGATTTGGCAGGGGAGCCACAAAATTCCACGCATCCTGCTCAGGGTTGTAGCACTCCACATTAGACACAGCCTGCCCCCCGATGGCATAGAGCTTCGAGTTGACAGCCACGAGTTTGAAGTTAGAGCTGAAAGAAAGACGTAAACCCACAAGGTCAGTTCTGGTTGAGGTGTGGGGAGAGGAGGCTCTCCAGCAGAAGGTGGAGCCGTTCTGACAGCTCTGTGTTCAGCTGAAATGGCTGATCCACAGACAAAAGCAGCTCCAAGAAGCGGCTACAAGGACCAATCTTGTTTGTGGGTCTGCTGCCGGGAACCAGGGCACCCGCTGCACACTAAACTCAGCTTTCCTTACCTGAAGATGCCACGTCTGGACCCAGCCAGCAGCTAGACCCAAATGTGTGAATTACATATTGCATCTGCATTGGACACGTACAGACATCTGCCCTTAGATTACACAGTGGCAAAACAGCTACCTCCAGAGCACATTCATTGATTAGACACTGCATGAAGTCTGGAGATAAATTCAAGGATGGAAGGATGTCTGAGTGCTGTGCAGTCCATGCCATTTCACAGACGAACCTGAGCCATAGTCACTGCCTCCGTGATGGGGGAAGCACTTCTGTGTATGTTTATCTTATTGATTGTTAAATAAAATACTGTTTGGCCCATGAGACAGCAAGTTAGACGGGACTAGGAGTCAAAGAGGATTCTGGGAAATGTAGTAGAGAAGTGGTGATCCAGACAGGAAGTGACATAGCAAGGAGACTCATATTTAAAGAAGGAGAAACAGGAAGCATCCCTCTTTTCCCCTCCGTTCCTGCTCCAGCGGCGCCATGTGGGCCACCAGCAAGGAGGGACGCCAATAAGGCGCCCGATAAGACTTATAAAATATATAGATTTATGATAATTAAGGCTGAGCTAACAGATGAGGAATCCTAGTCATTGGCCAAGCAGCTGTGAACCTAATACGTTTCTGTGTATTCATTTGGGCATAACTCGGGCAGGCGGCTGGCGTAAAGCTCACACGTGGCGGTGGGGCTCGGCGGCTTTTGGCGGAAAGATTTATCGTAACAGCCTCACGTCACTGTGATCCCCGTATCCTACAGAAACAACTCACAGAAGAAATTTTGGCTCACCGTTTCAGAGGGTCTCAGCCTATCATGGCAGGGACAGTGTGGAGAACAGTTCACAGTGGCACGGGCATGAGGCTGTCACCACAGTGGAGCGGGGAGGCCGAGAGAGGAAAGCCATCAGGCAGCAGCTAGATGTGGCCCTCGTGTCTAACGCCAACAAGAATTGCTCCAGAAAGAACTACATCCCAGGAAAGATGGGACAGTAGCCACAAAGTCAAAGCAACAGCAGAGGCTGTGTGCGTGGGACGAGGGAGGCCAGGGCATAGCAAGGTAGATCACACACCAGCAAGCTCATAAGAAAGCACAGTGCTCTCTCTACAGGTGCCTGCGTGCCCAGGCACTGTTTGCATTTTGTCTTCCAAACGAGAAGGTGAGCCCAGGATTCTGCACCCTGAGCCTCAGAACCGTTAAACTCAGCCAGCCATGCAGACGGACTTCGCCCTGGTGGCAGCAACTGGGGGGTCCCCGATTCATGCCGCTTGCTTTCCCCACTGCCAATGGTCCTTAACATCCAACCATGGTGCCCACTCTGGGTGCAGATCTGGTGAGCCAGAGGAAATAACATTTGTAAACAAGCACTAAATCCTGACAGGCTCAGGCTGGTTTCACTTGCCACAGGTACACAGATAGTAAATTCTGTAACATCAAAACAGGGCATGTGATTCATCTGTCTTCAGCAAACAGGTAAGAGGGGCTTTTTTTTTTCTGAGACCAATCGGACGGGCAGCTAAGTAAACAACTTTCATCACTCCAAAACCTCATACGAGCGGCTCTTGTCAAGAGAAGCGTTTATTAGTGTTGGGTTTGCTTGCAGATGGGCTGGCCGCCTGAAAACAAACCAAATGCTAAATTTAGAGGCACATCACTGAGGGCTCCAACTCCAGCCTTGCAAGGGAATCTAAACCCCACTGCTGAGCAGCTGTGCAACCTGGGACACTGACCGAAGTGCAGTAGAGCTGTGCCTCAGTTTCCCCTTCTCTGAAGCAGAGTCTGCTTTGTGGGGCTAGGGAGGGTGATTTTCCTCATTTCCTCCTGTCTTAAGCCTCGGGTTTTGGTTTTTTAATATTTTCTTATTTTTGATTGCATACATATGAGGGGGTGTGTATGAGTGCAGGCGAATGCAGGTGTCCACAGTGACTGTGAGCCACCTGAAGTGGGCGCTGGGAACTGAGCTCAGGTCCTCTGGAACTGCACTATGTGACCTTAACCACCAAACCATCTCTCCAGCTCCTCTTTGTTTTTAAACTTTATTACATTTCTTTATTGTGTCTTTCTGTGTGAATGAGTGTGTGTGTGTGTGTGTGTGTGAATGAGTGTGTGTGTGTGTGACTGTGTGTGTGAATGTGTGTGTGTGAATGTGTGTGAATGTGTGTGTGTATGTGTGAATGTGCGTGTGTGAATGTGTGTGTATGTGTGTGTGAGTGTGAATGTGTGGGGGGGGTGTGAATGTGCGTGTGTGTGCGTGTGTGTGTGTGTGTGTGTGTGTATGTGTGTGTGAATGTGCGTGTGTGCATGTGTGTGTGTGTGTGTGGTGTGTGTGTGTGAGAGTGTGTGTGAGAGTGTGTGTGTGTGTGAGAGAGTTGTGAATGTGTGTGTGTGTGAATGTGTGTGTGTGAGTGTGTGTGTGTGTGTGTGTGTGTGTGTGAGAGTGTGTGAATGTGTGTGTGTGTGCATGTGCACCTTCAGGTGTGTGGGGGTGTGCATGCTACAGTGTACATATGGAGGTCAGAGGAAAACTTGTAGGAGCTGGTTCTCTCCTTCAACCACAGGCATCCCAGGGGTGGACTCAGGTGTCAGGCTCAGCAGCGACCTCTGTACCCACTGAGCCCTCTCTCCAGCCCTGAGCCCCAGCTTCTTAGCTCCAGGAGGGCTGGTTTCTTACAGCACAGATGCCCTTCAGAACTCTGCAGTTTGTGTTCCCTTCTGCAAACCCCTGACACCTCATTTCCAGCTCCTGAAAGCAGCTTTCACTCGTCACCTCAGGAGCGTGACTGTGCATCTGAGCCATCCATTACTTCACAATTGTCTTTTCTTCCTTCACATTGATCCCCGACACACTATGATCAGGAAGAAAGATAACTGTCATACCAAATAAGCCTTCATTTTGTAGCTGTATACGATTCACTTGCAATAAATAAGCAGCAAGTGAGAAAAGTTAGACATGGCTGAAATTTAATTTCCATTTCACTGAGAAGAAATAAAAAGCCCTTTAGGGCTGAAGCCACAGCCTGATGATGATAGAACATGGCTTAGCATACGTGAGGTCCTGGGTTCAATTCCCAAAGCAGAGGTGGTGTCGGGGAGGGGGAGGTCTGTGATTCCATTTATCTTACAAGTTCAAAGCCAGCCTGGGCTACATAGTGAGAGGCCAAGCTGAGCTATACAGCAAGACCCAAACTCAAACATTACACTTAAACCTGAGTGATGAGAACTTTGCTAAACGCCCAGCCACCGACTAACAGCCACAAAAACCATAATGAGGATGGTGATAACCCAGGCGGAGTCTAGCCCTGTGATTGTGTGAAAAGGAACTACACTCACTGGGGAATCAGGGTCAATAATAAAACCAACCTCACAGAGCTGCTGTGGCTGATGACAAAGTGAGCACTACGCTTGACCCAGAAAGAGAGTTCGGGAAACAAAAACACCACCATGGCTTGCTACAGACAACTCTGTTACTGTGGCTACATCCCTCCTCGGCCTGGACAGTGTGCAGGGCCCATCCAATCCCTCTGTCTGTCACTCCTTCCCTCCCTCTGTAGTGACCTCTGCTGGGGACCGGGATGGAGATGAAGATGGGAAACAGAAGTGTTCATTGTAGCCTCAACCACCTGTGGGAAACTCAGAAAGCAAAAAGCAGAAAGCAATTTCAACCGTTGGCCAGAACTCGGCTGCGGAGGTTAACAGGCCTGCCATTTTCCCTCCTTCTCTGGTCAGGTCCAGCTGTGTGGGCTCCACGGTCGAGCACAAATACTCTCAGGGATCCCCAGTGCCGCTGCTCTGCCATCAACAGCTATTGGCGAGGCCTCTCTGGCCTTGATGCGCTCACACACAAACTGGAGCCTCCCAGCTCCACCTTCACAACAGAAAGAAGCCAGGGCTGAGGAAGACCCTAGAAACAATCTTAGAAATTTAAAGACATTTCCAAAGAACGACTGCAGTCAGTGGCCCGCTCCTGCAAGCTGTCCCTAATTAAGTTGGGGAGGGAAGGTAATTTTGTAGTAACCTTCACAAGCTTTTACATGTGAAGAGTCAAGTCTGTGTTCAGGCAATGAACTGGTGTCGTGTTGTACATTTGAAAAAGGCCTTCAAAAAAATTATGGGACTTGTACAGTTATTTTCTTTTTTACAAATTACGTGTGTGTGTGTGTGTGTGTGTGTGTGTGTGTGTGTGTGTGTGTGTGTGTGTGTGTACATGTACACAGGTCACGGCACAGATGGGAAGGCCAAAGAATCAGTCCTCTACTTCTACCATGCGGTCCTGGGACTCAATCTCCACTCACCAGGCTCCCCACCTGGTGCCTTTAGCTAACTGAGATCCATCTCATTGGCCAACACAGTCATTTCCAAGCTTATAGCTTTACACTAGACCTTGAAAAGAAATCTCAAAGAGTCACATCGAAACACAGAAAAGCAAAACAGTGCGACAGAAAATGACACCGCTGAGTGTGACTGCCCTCTCATCTAGAGACAACTCCCATGCATAGGGTCTAAAAGTATCACACACAGCAAATCCAGCTGAAAAGATAAAACTGCTTCTCACAAGAAGCCACTCAAACCCAGAGTCTATGAGTCAGGGTTTGCACACTTGCAAGGCCAGCGCTACGCTGCATTCTGTTTGCTGGGCCAGGTTTCTATTATTGGTGATTTACTTATTTTCAAGACAAAATAAACTGCCAACAGTTAAAAATGGGGTAACCTCATGCCTGGCCACCCTGGCCCCTCACTTCTACTAGGGAATTACCAGTGAGGTCCTGGGTGAGGAGGTTATGGGTGACACACTGACTCCAGGTCCCCAGAACTCCTACTCACTCTTCTACTCTCTGACATCACTTACCCTGCCACACTAGGACTCCAGATTTGAATCATATGAAAACAACAACCCAATGTGCTGGTGTACCTCTAATCCCAGCATCCGTGAGGTGAAGAAATGCAAGACTTTCCTCAGATACACAGAGAGTTCAAGGCCCACTTGGATACATAAGTACCCTATCTCAAAAAAATTAATAAAATAGCCAGGCGGTGGTGGTACACATCTTTAATCCCAGCTCTCGGGAGGCAGAGGCAGAGGCAGGTGGATCTCTGTGAGTTTAAGGCCAGCCCAGTCTACAAAGCTACACAGAGGAACAAAGAAAGCCAAACCAAAAATTATATCAATAGATAGGCCTCTGTAAACACACAAAAAAAAATTGCTGTGGGATATTTTATTGCACTCTGACACTCCTGAGACTGACAATAAAATTTACCTTGAAACAGAGGGCATGACTAGCTATACTATTTGACCAGAATCAGCCATAGAGGTTTTGGAGGACCCAGGACATATAGAGAGACACAGGAAGTAGTAGGGAGGGGTTAGAAAGATTCTCGTCCAGTTTGGATCAAGGAAGGAGAGAGAGAGGAGATCACTTCTCTGATCAATCAGGTTTTAACCCCATATCTGTCTCCTGAGTTTTTATTAATAATAGAATAATTCAGATAATTATTTTAAAAATTCATATACAATAACAATTAGAAGAAACATTAAACATCCTAATAATTTTAGAGTAAAAATATACAGATGTACATCCTACTCACTTGGGAATATACACACAGCTCCCGAATGATATCAGCTGGCCTATATGTATAAGCAGAAGCATCCATGTGTTTATAATACCTAACAATGGCATGCATGTGTAGATACTGCTGTGGTTTGGGTACCCAGTACCCCAAAAGGCTCATGTGTTGACAGGTTGGTCCCCTTGCATTGCTCACAGGTAGATTTAGGGAGGGCTGAGTCAGGGGAGGGGTCTGACCTCATCAGTGCATTGGCCCATGGATGGAATCAAGTGACATTGTGACTGGAATATGATAGAAACCAGACAGCCGGTAGGGCCTCCTTGGAAGAAGCAGGTTCCTGGGTTGGTGGGAAGGGGGTGTCTCTGAGGGGTATTTTCTTCTCTGCAATGAGCTGAGACCCTCTGTTCTGCTATGGGTTCTTGGCCCTCATTCTTGGCCCCAAATAACACCCCCTCCCCACGCACCTGCTTTCCCTTGTTGTCTCAGCCAGTCACCACAATGAAATCGTCAAGGGCTATGTGGCTATGGTCAATATTGTCAATTGTCGGGATCCAGAACTACAGAGACAAGGGCTGGGTGGTCTGTGAAGGACGTTCTAGATTAGAATAACTGAGAAGGGAAGACTCTTCCACCATCTGTGATCCAGACCATAAAAAGGAGAAAACAAGCTACCACTGGCATCCATCCACCACTGCTGCCTCCGACTGCTTCCTCAGGCTCTTGTCACCAGGCCTTCTCCACCCTCCAACCATAAGCCAAAATGAACCCTCCCTCGCTGAGCTGCTTCAGGTGCCTGGCACAGCATGGAAGGAAGACGCGCTCCCTGTACAGCCTCCCTGTGAGGCAGGAGCTGGAAGACAACTTGGCCGTGTTTAAAGAGCACAGAAAGAACAGGTTTGAGGCAAACGGACAGAGGATATCAGGCTAGACCAGTGAGGTGTCAGGCCTGTGGAGCTAAGGTCACCATACAGAGTCCAAGTGGATGGAGATACACAGGGAAAGGTTAGACAGAACCTAGAACCTTCCACCTACTCTCAGAGCACACCTTTGTTGATTTAATTAAAGCTCTTAAAAAATTACTTTAAAATAACACTTTCTATACTAAACTTAATCATTTTGTTTCTGTTTTCAGAAAGTGTCTCTGTAGCTCAGGCTAGAGAACAGCTCTTCCTGCCTCAGCCTTCCAAGTCCTTCAATTATAGACAGGCACCTGTAATGATGATATAAATACCATGTTACAGTAGGTCGGATGGAAGCCCACCAACCCCTAGTAATACCTCTGGAAGGGAGAGTGGGTGGCACATTCATCTCTGCTTCTTATAATTCAGCTTTCCAGGGCTTTCTAGGATTTACTTTTTATCTTTATTTGGTGCCTATATGTGTATGTATGCATGTATGTGGGTGCCTGTTAGCTACAGATGCCCTGGAGATGCAGCTACAGGTTATAGCACCCAGTGTGGGAGCTGGGAAACTGAACACCACGTCTTATGAAAGAGCACCAAGTGCTCTCAGCCTCTGAGCCATCAGGACAAGGTATGTTCCTGCAAATAACCCCTAACCTAAGTGTCTCTTGTCCTGCGTTGGACCGGACAGTTCCAGTTCAGATTTCTTCCTTCTAACTTCCAGTCATTTCAAGGCAAAGACCACAGTGGGATCTGGGTGGCAGCAGGTGGCCTGGTAGAGAGGGCCTGTCCTGTCGTAGCTACCCTCCCCACCATTTCTGGGGCACTGGTGATTGAATGGAGGCCTCATGAGTTCTAGGCAAGCGCTCTCACACTGAGATATGGTTTTCCCACTCTCCTATGTTTTGCTTGTTATCCAGGCTGGCCTGGAACTCACCTGCAACCTAGAAAGGCCCTTACCTTGGAACCTGCTCGCTTCAGCAGTCTAAGCAGCTGGGGCAACAGGCCTGTAAGACTGAGACAACCTGGGACGACTGTCTGGACTCCCTTTCTCTTCCTGTGTCTGCTTTTTTTTTTTTTTTTTTTTTTTTTTTTTTTTTTTTTTTTTTTTGCTTTCATTTTCTTTTTCTCCAGGCTCCTTTCCTTACTTCTCCTCCCACCCTGACCTCCAAGCTCCTCCATTTCTTCTCTGAGCCACCCACGGTCAAGGTAAGAGGGCTCCACAGGAAGGGAATGAGTGAGGGAGAAAGGAATGAATGCACCTGGCCCTTTGAGTCCACAGGTTCATAGATTCAAACAGTAAGCAGGGGAAGTGTGTATATTGACAACACTGACAAGGTAGATACATTACATTTGAAGCTGTAAGGAACATAGAGATTATTTATTGTAGAAAGCCAGACTCGTTAGTGCACACCTTTAATCCCAGCACTCCAAAGGCTAGAAGGCAGGAGGATCACTTGAGCCTAGCAAGCTCAGGAGTTCAAGACCAGCCTGAGGAAAGAACACACCAAGATAAAGGAAAACCACTGAACATAAGCAGGGGGGTACATGTATGCTTCATGCTAATAGCTGCAGGATGCTCAGGCAGACAAGAGACTCGAGGGGCAAGGGCATGCCGATTCTGTAGTTGACCCTGCTCTGGGCTCAAGTTTTGGGTCAAAGATGATTGCTGTCTAGGGAGGAAATAAACAAAAAGAAGGGAGAAGGAAGGGGAAAAAAAGAAGTGAATCCCTTTGTGGCGCGTATTAATATCATCATCCTAGGGACGGCGGATTCCTACCCAGGTGCAGAAGGATGCAAAGTCACTGGCAGCGACAACCAAAGTTCCTGAAGCCAGAGTGTTAGATACTGCTGCCAAAGAGGCATTATAATTCGGATCAGACCAGGGAAGGAAAGAGAAGGAAAAAACAGCAGTCATCTTCTGTAATATCCACTTCAAACACACCGAGACAGAGAAACCTGAGGCCCGCACCTGGAAGAAGGTCACTGGGCGGGCCGACTTCCTGCTGGCAGGCCTCGGGCTCCCCGGGAACTCTGCCAGGACAATGAATGGAGGGCTCAGGCCCTGCCGACAGACACTTACCGTTTCTGGTTCATGGAGGCCACCTGCAGCCACTCGTTGGTGGTGGGGTTGTAGGAGTGTGCGGCCGAGATCTCCTGGCTGGTGATCCTGTACCCGCCCACGATGAAGAGGTAATTGTCCAAGACGGCTGAGCCGTAGCCTCTGACGTTCACCAGGTCGGGGGGCAGGTTGTTGGCCAGCGGGAACCAGCGTTCCGTGGTCTCCTCGTACCTAAGCATGGACGGGGGTTCCCCCTGATACGGGTGCGGGGCCAGGGGTCCCCCGAGGAAATCCCCCAGGGCCACCAGAACCGGGGTCCCGCGCATGCGGGCCTCCCTCAGCCTCTGCTTCAGGCTGCAGTCCCCCGGGGCCTGCGGCGGCGACAGCAGGAGCGGGAACTGCGGCTGGCACAGCACCTGGTGGAAGCGCAGCGCCATAAAGCGCAGGCAGGCATCCTGCAGGTCGGGCAGCCCGTACACCTGAGCCAGGCGGTACAGCTCCAAGCAGTTGCCCAGACGCACATGCGACAGCAGCAGGCGCAGCAGCGCCGTGACCTGCAGGAAGGACGCGGCCTCCACCAGCTCGGCCAGCACCTCGTCCTCGCCCAGGCCCCAGCCCTCGCGCGCGCCGCCCGCGTTG